CCCCTTTGGGTCTGGTTAGGGTTAGGGCTTCCTATTCTGCCCCCTGGAGGATGGGCTCCCCCTTTGGGTCTGGTTAGGGTTAGGGCTTCCTCTGCTGCCCCCTGGAGGATGGGCTCCCCCTCTGAGTTTCTCCTAAGGTTTCTTCCTTCTTGGGAGCTTTTCCTTTTCACTGTGGCCTCTGGCTGCTCAATGGGGGCTTTGGGCAGGGATGCTATAAAGCGATTTGAGACAATGTAATGTTGTGAAAACACGCTATACAAATAAAACTGAACTGAACTGAAATTGAATTCTGTGTTGGGGGGGGGACTCAAAATTATTATTTATTGCGATGATTTTAAACTGAAATTACTCATATACATTTTTTTACTTATCGGCCAGCCCTAATCAACAAGACATTAATCGGAGAGCTATCAATCCTGTGAAATAGGCTTTTAATAGAAATGTTTGTTTGAACGATTAATGAATAATGATGCTTCATTCATCCCCATGGGGAAATTGTCTTTTCGCCCCTCCCATCTTGCTCTCCAAGAGACACACAGACACATATACAGGTGAGAGAAAGTTTGGGGGTCGCAGCACAGGGTCGGCCAGCATCCAGCCCCCCCACAGCTCAAAGACCCAGTGATGACATCACTCTGCCGGCCAGGAGATCTGAACCAGCGGCCTTCCGCTCATAGACACAGAGTCCGAACCCAAAGAGTCACGCACCACATCCAGTATTCACAGAAATGCTTTCTACAGCATCCAGAACTGAAAAGAATATGAGTGGTTTTCCCACTATTAATGAAAACTGGACCATTCTGTATGATGCTGTATCTTTGGTTATTTGTTACACAAAAGATGGTCATGGAAATCTTGTCTTTTTTGTTTTTACTACATCACTGCCTTCAGTTAATATAAACTAGATTAAAAAGAAACCTTGTTGATAAAAGAGGGGAAATAAATTACATATATACAGTCAGACCTCGGACATTCGCAAGTTTAGGTTCCAGAGCCCGTCGCAAATGAGGAGGATTCGTGGATGTTTGGTAAAGTCACTAAAAATGATAATATGTGCTTATTTCTATAGTTCTAAATATGACCCAGTCATGCTCCTAAAACACTTTAATTTCATTTAAAAGTTAGCTTAATACATTACTTTTAAAAAAAAAACAAATGTTTGATGTAAAAACAGAGTACAGTATCGCCTAACGCAGGGTTATTCAACTCACTGGTTTTCCAGCCTTCCTTTACCTGTCAGTCAGGTGTGAAGCCTCTGACCAATCAGAATCAGTAATTATTAAACAACTACCTGGGAGAACTGAAAACACGGCCTGGATTTGGAATCGAGGTCCAGAGTTGAAGAACCCTGGCCTAACGGATATTTGTCACACCAGCACATTTTCAGTACAGTATACTAATGTTACCCCTACTAATTCATAGGACATGGCTTTGGCTGCCATTTTCTTTTTCATTCACAGTAAGGTAAAATGAGTAAACGAACGGGACTGTAAACTTATTGACAGAAGTCATACACATAACCAAGGTACAATTCAATAAAATACGTAAAGGAAACATGTACATGTAATTTTCGTGGATCTGTGAATTCGCAAAACACGAAGCGTGAATTCACGAGGGCTGACTGTACACATTCATTTTATATTTTAAACAATGTTAATCTATTACTGCCAGACCGGATGTGTCATCATGTCCTCAGGCAGGAGCAGCTGTGGCCAGCAGAGGCCGCCAGCGAGCAGCCAGAGACAGACGTTCCCAGCTCTGGGCTCCATCACATGAACACACCTGCTGACAATAACACTCACATACCACTTATACACCCTGTGGATAAAGAGCCCTCACTGTTTCTATAACAGGTTAGGATGCTGTGCCTGTGATCAGAAGGCAGACTGGATGGAAACGGAAACGTAATTTTTTTGTTTGTTACTACATCAGTACCTTCAATCATTATAAAGTCCGTGGTCCGGATTATCAAATAATCCCCCGTTATTAATCCAAGAGGAGAAATAAATTTGATACATTTCATACAATGTTAATGTATTACTGCAAGACCAGACATGATTTCCCATCCCCCCGTCACTTACAGAGCCGTCCTGGAGTTCTTGACCACAGGCAGCAGCCTGCAGTGCTCTTCATCCCATCTGATGTATTTCTTCAGATCAAAAACATCCAGCTCCTCATCTGACATCAGTAACACAAAGGCCAGAGCTGAGTACTGTGCAGGTGAGAGGTCTTCAGGTGAAAGGTTTCCTGAATTCAGGTATCTTTGTACTTCTTCCACTAGAGAATTGTCACCCAGCTCAATCAGACAGTGGAACAGGTTGATGGTCCTTTCTGGAGAGAAATTCTCCTTTATTTTCCCCTTGATGTATTGGGCTGTTTCCCCAATGTTATGTGAACTGGTTCTTGTCTGGCCCAGTAGCCTTTTTAACAGACTCTTACTGGAGTCTGTTGAGAGGCCCAGGAGGAAGCAGAGGTAGAGGTCCAAGTGTCCATTCTTGCTCTTTAATGCCTGATTCACTTCAATCTTCAGCAGGTCAGCTGATGAGTTTGATAGAAACACATATAAAGCAGCGAGATACTCCTGGATGCTCAGATGCACAAAGCAGTACACCTTATCCTGATACAACCCATATTCCTCTTTAAAGACTTCTGTGCACACTCCAGAGTAAACTGAAGTTTCAGTGACATCAATGCCATTCTCTGTCATATCTTGCTCATAAAATATGAGATTGCCTTTCTCAAGGTTGTCAAAAGCCAGTTTGCCAAGTTTTAAAAGGAATTTGTTGCTGTATTCCTTAGGCTTGGTTTCATAGTTTTCCATATACTTGTCTTTTTTTAAACTTGTCTGAAAGATCAGGAAGTGTGTGTATATTTCAGTCAGAGTCTTTGGAATTTCCCCCCTGTCATTCTTACTAAAAAGCTCAAGAACAGTGGCTGAAATCCAGCAGAACACAGGTATGTGGCACATGATGAAGAGGCTCCTTGATGATTTCACATGTGTGATAATCCTGCTGGCCAGGCTCTTATCATTGAATCTCTTCCTGAAATACTCCTCCTTCTGGGCATCACTGAACCCTCGTATCTCTGTCACCCGGTGGACACACTTAGGAGGTATCTGATTGGTTGCTGCAGGTCGGGAGGTTATCCAGAGGAGAGCGGATGGAAGCAGATTCCCCTTAATGAAGTTAGTCATCAGCACATCGAGTGACATTTTCATTGTTACATCAAACCAGCTCTCATTCTTCTGAAAATCTAGAGGAAGGCGACACTCATCTAGACCATCAAAGATGAACAAGACTTTGCACCTAAACAGTTCAGTGTATTCAAGTGATTTCAGTTCTGGGACAAAGCGGTGAAGCAGTTCAATCAGACTGTATTCATCCTTAATCAAATTCAGGTCGCGGAAAGGAAGAGCAAATATGAAGTGAATGTCCTGGTTTGCTTTTCCTTCTGCCCAGTCGAGAATAAATTTCTGCACAGAGACTGTTTTCCCGATACCTGCCACCCCTTTAGTGAGTACAGTTCTGATAGGTGTCTTACGCCCATATAAGAGTTTAAATATATTATTGCACTTCACTGCAGTATCTTCTGTTCGCCTTTTCTTGGGTGCTGCTTCAATCTGTCTCATTTCATGTTCATCATTGACTCCTTCAGTCCCAGCTTCAGTTATGTAGAGTTCTGTGTAAATCTCACTGAGAAGTGTTGGCTGTCCTCCCTTAGGTTTCCCTTCAAATACACATTCACAGTTCTGCTTCATGGTACATTTGATTCTGTGTATGAGTTCCTCTGAAGAAAAATGAGAAGACACAAATTCTCAATATGATCCTGACCAGTATGGGAGGAAGATTAAAACACACAACATTAATCGCAACATGATGACCTTAACCCCAACCCAGCCCTATCCTTAACCATAAGTTACCAAACAAAATACAAGATTTTTGGCATGTTTAGTTTTTTGATTGCATTCACAGATGTTAGTGGGGACCTGAGAAATGGTCCCCGCACCGTAAAATAACGGGTTATTTTTGTTGGGATACCTAATTCCCCCCCACCCCGCCCCGACACACACACAGACAAACATCTTTTACTATTTCATTGTGTTAAAATCAAGCTTTAAATTTCACATCCTACATAGTCTTACTGAAGCCCCAGATATCTGTACAGCAGTTCTGGTCCTAGCTGATATGGTGACCTAGGAGAGCATCACCACCGGCGCCCCCTGCTTGAGGCAAAGTGAAACTGGCTGGCAAGTCGGCGCCCCCTCAGAAGGTGGTGCCCTAGGCGGCCGCCTATGTCGCCTATAGGTCTGACCGGCCCTGGCTGGGGTGGCATTAAACCCGGCCAATAGCAGCACCTACGCCAGATTATAACTTTCTAAACACAAAGTAAACAGCAAGATACATTACAGCTGGCTGGCATTCATGCACAAAACCTCATTCAATGAGCATGTCGCTCACATGATAATGCTGTTTGCTATGCATATAAGACTAATCAGTAATAAAAATGCAAAGGTTTTAAACTGTTCGTTAAAAAGGTGGATGGGAATGGAAAAGCATTTTATTTGACTATTACAATTTACTATCCTGAGACAGACGCAGTGGACGGTTCATGCAGGTGCAGCAGGACACTTTAAAGATAAAGTGTATTTCTGACAATGATGCTGTAGGTTATTCCCGATCCCAAAAACCTGAAAAGTATTTCCAACTTTCCCTAATGAATTTACGCTGGGAGGAACTAATGTTAATTCTAGCTATTTATTAAATTGGCAAATGCCGAATTATCCAAGGTAAGCTAGTAACACTCTGCTCCACGGACCACAGACAGTAACACGGTAATTACTCTGATTAGTGATTAATACCTCTGTCTTTTTCCCATTTTTCCTCCTCTCCTCTTCCTCCTTTTCCTCCCTGGGCACTGGAGGGCTTTGGTCTTTCTGACATGATAGTGTCTGTTTGAATTAGATACCATTAATCATATCACACACCTATCAATCGTATCAATGTCACTTAAAGACGCCACAGTGTGTGATACGGAGGGGAGGGGGGGCACCGGGCAAAGCATAAAATATCCCTTATTTAATAAGGTTTGCTTATTTAAGAACATAAGAAATTTACAAACAAGAGGGGGCCATTCGGCCCATTAAGCTCGTTTGGGGAGAACTTAACTAATAGCTCAGAGTTGTTAAAATCTTATCAAGCTCTGATTTAAAGGAATCCAGGGTTTTAGCTTCCGCTACACTAGCTTAATAAGCTTTTTATTATTTTGAGATAATACTGTAAAATAGTAGTAAATCAATATAGTAAAAGTCAAAATCTTAATTTCCCCCTTCCCTTTCTACCCCTTTGGAACAGACGGCACCCCTGGCATTTTCCTGTACTGCCTATGCCACGGGCCGTCCTGATATACAGGATTCAATTCAATGTATTTTTATATAGCGCCTTTCACTACCAAGTCCAAGGTGCTTTATATGGTCATGTTGGGATACATTCCTGCATCATTTATACAGAATAATTCAAAAACACAGAAAAGAGAAGACAAAGAAATAAAAGAAAGAAAGCCAGATGACAACAGACAACTGGCTGCCCAACCCCCCCGGGCCCCCCCAGCCGTGCTAACACTAAAAGGAAAAGGAAGAGTGGGCTTGCCAGCTCACTTCCTGCTTGGGGATCTGAGATAAGGAAGAATTTCAAATTCATTTCTGTCTTCAGCATCAGTCTAACAAACTTTCCCATATAATCCTATACAGTATGTTAATTTTTCAAGAGATTATAAAGGTTATAATTTAGACAAAAAGAAAGTTTAAAAATATGATTACCCTTCTGCAGGATGTTATCCAATCTCTGAACAAGGTCATTCCGGTTCATCTTCTTCAGGACTTCAAGCATGACATTGAGAGCACCGACTTCACCATAGGAACGTATCATCATGTCGGCGATGCCGCTTCTGTTCAAATTCTCCAGCTGACCCCTGGGAATGCGCTGATACTTTTCATATGCCACGTGAATCAGGTAAAATGTAAACGTATTCAGCTCCTCTTTAGTGAGCTCCTCCAGAGAATGCATCAAGAGGGCAGCGAGTGAGGTCTGGGTCTGCAGGATGTCGGAGATGAGTCCATGAGACTCACAGACCCGCAAATTAATTATCATCGAACCTTTATTTAACCAGGTTAGTTACAGGAAGAACACTGCAGAGAGTGAGCTTTTTGTCTGCTAAGTTATTCTGTTCTGTTACAGTACGTCTGTAACATTTGGTGCAGTGCAGTATGGTAAGGAAGTAGCCTGAGGAAGAGCACTGCAGAGAGTGAGCTTTTTGTCTGCTAAGTTATTCGGTTCTGTTACAGTACATCTGTAACATTTGGTGCAGTGTGGTATGGTAAGGAAGTAGCCTGAGGAAGAGCACTGCGGAGAGTGAGCTTTTTGTCTGCTAAGTTATTCTGCTGTGTTACAGTATGTCTGTAACATTTGCTGCAGTGTGGTATGGTAAGGAAGTAGCCTGAGGAAGAGCACTGCGGAGATGAGCTTTCTGAAAATAGTTATTCATGTTATGAACTTAAGGCTCTCCTGTCTCTCAGTATCTGTTATTTACAGCTCTAACAACATGCATTTTATGCCAAGATGTTACATCCATACCTCCTCATTGGAATGGTCAGCCATCGCTTAGATGATTATGGTTGTGAAGAACCAGTTCCCATGTATAGACCGACTCTGTAATCAAAAGCAGAAGTAATGTCAGCTTTATATTCAAAATTCAGTTTACCGGCTATAATATCTTTCAACCAAAGGAAAGCAATCAGTTTTTAATTACAGGTAGAGATGTGCACTGATCATTTGGACTAACAACTGTGGGCCATATTATACTGTGTGCTTAAGTTAAAAAAAAAAGCATGTACCCATTGAATTGAGGACTTTAAAGCACTTTTCCATCTACATGCTCTGGAGGGCTGCATTTGTCACAGACCAGAGCTCTGGGGCCCATAGCTGTTCTCAGTTTGGAATTACCTCCTTCTTTGAACTGTTTGCACCTGTTGGTTTCATTACTCACCTTATTAGGTGCTTTCACACCGAAGTTCTGGGACCTGGTCCTTGTTTACAGGTTCTCGGGCTGTCTGGACCGGGGACTTTTGTAGATCCTGGCCACTTCTGTCTGTCACTGTCACACCGCACAACAGGAACTGAGACTCAGCAGAGCCGTCACTCAGTCATGGAAGTTATTGTTCATAAGTCAGCACTTTAGTTTCTCAGGGGGAGCAGTTTAACATGTAATTTACTGAAGGGGTTAAAATGCTGTTATATTTCTTAAATGTATTATGAAATGTTTAGAAACTTATTTTAATAACTGCTTCTTTTAACATCCTTGTCCAAGTCCAATTCTAATCACTTTCACAGAACAGTTACTCCACTTCTTGTGAGTTATTCATCTGAGCCAATTAAGCATTACATACAAAACTCAAACCATCTGTAAGCATTGTAGGAAAAGCCATTTGCAGCACCATCACAGCTCTTTACTTAAATCCACTGCACCGGTGAAGAAAACATTAAAAAATGTTTTATGTTTGTAATTTATATTGTTTTATTTATATTCTATTTTATGTTCAATTGAATAGTCAAGTACGAGAGAAGCCTGTCATTTGAGTTTGTGGTGAAATATTTTTTGGTGCTAGATATTTGTTCTGTTCTTTACTGCATATAGTGATGGTGATTATTTAAAACATTTAGCATTTTTTGTCTTTCAAATTAATCAAATAAAAGGCTGCTTTCCAGTAATATATTTTCTCTTTGAAGTTTTCCTTAAAATATTGTTAAAATATCGTCTCATCTCGTCTCGTGAACCCAATATCGCGTCTCGTCTCATCTCATGGGCTGAGTGCATCGTTACACCCCTAGTTAGGGCTGGTTTATACTCAACACTCACAAAGTGTCTTTGCTCACAGCTCTGTGAGTGAGTGTCCGCCAGCAGGGGGCTCGTTTCCCAACTATGCAAGTTGCAACTGTGCTTTTGGAACAAGCAGCCCAGAGCGGGAGTTTAGACTAAACCATTTTAACAGAGGGTGGGGGGTTTCTAAGTGAAAACTTTCAGAAAAAAATTATATTATATGATGTGATATATTTACTGCAAGTGTTTTTTGTAAACCAAGCAATATTGTAACTGTTTAGATGCACTGTTTAGATGTTTAGACAGAATGGGTAAGACACAAACCTTTTCTTTGTATATAAAATGGTAGCAGAATTCCCAAAGTATCTGAGTAATGGGTATAGAGTGATGAAATATATATTAAAGGATATTTAAGTGTAATCCTGCATTATTTTTAGTATCCTTGGTTTTAAACCTATTAAATCAATATTAAATTCCTGTCAGAACAAGACAACGGTCATGATCTGGGATTTGCATGGATTTAATATCCATAATATATTCTCAGAATGTTCATAACTGGTTCTGAGAATGTCCTTATCATATCCGTACTAGGTCACCTAGAAATTGTTTGGACATCCCTCAAAGTCATCCTCTAGACGTAAAAATAACCTTCCATTTGGATGGACATCCAGATCAAAAGTATTGCTATTGGCTGGGTACATGAAACATAACGCAGTGCATTAACAGCGCTCATTATAAAAGGTAATAACCAACAATGGCATACAGACCAAAAGAGGATGTCCTAAGGATATGCCCAGAAGGTTTTCCTCCAGTGACCCGCGGAGCATGTGGAGGAGTATCAAGTACCTCACTCCAAACCCAGTGAGGCACAGTGCCCCAGAGATCCTTCCCTGCCTGATGCCCTAAACACCTTCTACACCCGCTTCAAGGACCCCAAGACCATCCATTCCTCCAGCACCAGGCTCCCTCCATCACCTGGAGAAGTGCCCCTCAGGGTGACCACAGCAGAGGTCTGTAGGACCCTGCAGAGGATTAACCCATGCAAGGCTGCTGGCCCAGATAACATCCCTGTTCGGGTACTAAAAAGCTGTGCACATCAGCTCTTCAATGCCTCACTCGCACAGGCAGCTGTTCCAAGCTGTCTGAAGACAGTCACAATCATCCCAGTCCCCAAAAGCTCCACAGTGGAAGGTCTGAATGACTATCGGCCGATTGCTCTCACCCAGATTTTCATGAAGTGCCTCGAGAGACTGGTTATGGCCCACATTAAGAGTTCCATCGATATCACTGCGGACCTACATCAGTACGCCTATCGCAGGAACAGATCCACTGACTACGCCGTCTCTGCAGTGGTTCACACGACTCTCACCCATCTAGAGATCAAAGACTCGTATGTCCGCCTTCTGTTTGTGGACTTCACATCTGCATTTAACACAATAGTCCCACAGACACTGGTGAGGAAACTCAGGACACTTGGACTGAGCTCTCCCATCTGCAACTGGGTCCTGGACTTCTTCACTAACAGACCACAGCATGTTAAAATCCACAACCTCTCCTACTCCACCAATACCCTCAGTACTGGCTCCCCCCAGGGTTGTGTGCTGAGCCCCCTCCTGTTCACCTTACTGACATACGACTGTTCAGCTAAACATCACAGCTGTCAGATCGTGAAGTGACATGGCAGTGGTGGGATGCATCAGGAATGATGACGAATCCGCATACAGACAGGAGGTGGAGCACTTGGAGGACTGGGGCAGGAAAAATAGACTCTGCATCAACGTAAAGAAAACTAAGGAATCGTGGATTTTAGGAAGCGCAAGGTGGAGAGTATTCTCTCTTTCTGCATCACAGTATGGCATGCCGGCTGCAGCAAAGAAAGGACTGCACAAGGTGGAGAGCATTCTCTCTTTCTGCATCACAGTATGGCATGCAGGCTGTGTGGCTGCATAAAAGAAAGGACTGCACAAGGTGGAGAGCATTCTGTCTTTCTGCATCACAGTATGACATGCAGCCTGTGTGGCTGCAGACAAGAAAGGACTGCACAAGATGGAGAGCATTCTCTCTTTCTGCATCACAGTATGGCATGCAGGCTGCGTGGCTGCAGAAAAGAAAGGACTGCACAAGGTGGAGAGCATTCTCTCTTTCTGCATCACAGTATGGCATGCAGGCTGCGTGGCTGCATAAAAGAAAGGACTGCACAGGCAGGAAGCTGAGGAGCATGAAGAATAGGACCAACAGACTGTGTAACAGCTTCTTTCCAGATGCTGTAAGACTTCTGAACTCTGCCGACCCCCCCC